TGATTATTCAATATTAGACGTTACCATCCAATAATGATGCACGAACTTGTTGTTCGATTATTTTTTCACTTCACAAACCCAATCCAATATAGCATACAATATGTGAACATGATATATTAGCATATATCGAAAAATCATACATAATCATATCACAGTTGCAGTAAGCTATAAATGCATATATTTTTACTCACGCTTATCATACAACTCAAATATAGAAATTACAATCTTGCACTTAAACGAACTAATAGAAGTAAATATAGAAATGTATGTTATATAATCGATACTCGAGTATATAACATACATAAACATAATCAAGTAGAAGCGTGTGTAGCAGTAGCAATTGATAAAGAACACACCTCAAGCAAGTTATCCAATATTGACTATTCAATACGCTTACAACACTCAACAAACGTACTAGATCCTGCAACAATGGAATTCATGACTCTTGTCAGATAGGTAGAGTGCAAAGAGTTTGGGTCAATCGGTGCGTGAACAAAAGGGTCTTAATTACCTATGACAAAAATCGACAGAGAAGACGATGGCGTGAAGGAGTTTCAGAAAGTCCGTACTTGAATTTCAAGAAATCGATGACGAAAGGAAGTTGAATATGAGGTCTTTTTCAAGTCCATGAGGGGATCTTAAAGACTGCGTCGATGTGTTCCAAACAATCGGTGAGGGAACTCTAGTGAGATGAAAATGAAAGAGAGGACTTGGAATGGTTGAACAAATTTACCTACAGGATTGATATCGCTTAAATACAGTTCGATCTGAATTAGTCAAAACGAAGCCTTGAAACCGAGAGGACAACCAAAAAAAAAAAAAAAAAGATTTCATATGCTGGAAAAAGGGTTTTTATACCCCATACTTAGGGTTACAATAAGCATATCCTAAAGGAAGGCGATTCTCATCCTTTAACACAAACAAAACCCAACCCCGATAACAAGGAAGCAGGTTGAAAAAGTGAAGGGCACGAATTCAAAAAGGTTTATCTCATGTTCAATTCAGTCATCAATATCAATGAAAATTCCAATTAAACCATTACATTTAACTTTTCTTTCAATTCAATCACCAAATAAAAGACAAAATCTAATTTTGGATTGTGACAACTCTCCCTTTTAAAGGAATTTTATCATCAAAATTTATAGAACTTAGCAACAATTTCTCCACACTTATACATAGTATGCTTAACCTTTATCAAAGAAATGTATCATTTACATTTTTCTTACTTCCACGGTAATACACAAGATTGGTTTGCTTCTTTTAAAATATTTCCAGAATAGTTCCAAAGTTTTACACTTTGGTTGTGCACTCACTCATGCACCATTCAAATCTATAATTCTTTTTATTCGAAATCCTTTCTCAATCATTTTAATTTGGTCATAGCTTGAACAATCCCTAAGTACAACTTATTTCCGAAGAAGTTTTAGATATCCATGCACGAGTTTCAAAATAACATACATCAAGTACAAGATTAACAATATACGAGGTAAAATGAATTTAGTTATTTAGATGAAAAACATTTAAGAAATGATGGAGGTTGTAACACTCACTATCTGAAAAATATATAAATTCATGTAAAATACATCACAAGGCCACGTCGACACATTGATCCAACAATACTAAACATACAAAAATCTTATTAAATTGGGCTACGTGTATTAGGGATATTTTTGTCTTTTTCACAACATCACATGAAAGCATGCCAAAATTTAAAATTAAATTTACCATACTGTAATGAAACATGTAATCAGGAAGCATGAAAATTTTAGCTCAATCGAATATCAAAGCTGGCTTCAGTTGCACAAACATAATATTTTAGGGACTAAATTGTAAACTGATAATTACCTTGTGTACAAACATTCACTTTATAAATTTCAAATTTCTACTTTAAATTAAAGTTGATAAAAATGTACTGTAAAAGTTTCAAGTTAATTGAGGTTAGGATTTATTCTCAATTTTAATTTCAAACTTTGGGGATCATTTTGTAAAATATTGTTAATTTGAGTGTTAAAAATTGAGGCAAAAATCCGATCATAATCGGAACAAAACGCAGCAAAAAATTTAAAATTATCCTCAAATTATTCTAGGATCTCATGCATATCATATTAATTACAGTAGGGTTGAGCAAAGAAATCAAGAAAATCGAAAAAATTGATCGAACCGAACTATGCAGTTTGGTTCGATTCGAGTTTTTCCTTTTGCAGTTCAGTTTTAGTTCGATTTAAAAATATAATTATACAATTCGGTTCGGTTCGGTTTCGATTTTTTCATATGAAATTGTTTGTTCAAATCAAACTGAATCAAAAAATAAAAGAAAACTATTATCCAAAACAAATATATTTTAAATTTATTATAAAAAACTTAAATAAATAAAATCTCAAAACTAATAATAACTTTTATGAATTTAAATTTATATATTTGCACTCAATTTAAGATTCCAGTTTGCCTTATTTAGGTGTTGATTTTGAAAAATAGTGAGCAGTAAAAAACCATAAAATCGAACAAATTGAAGCAAAAATTGTGGTTTTTATGACATTTGGGTTTGACTTAAATTTTTAAAAATCTTGAAAAGTATGGTTTGGTTCATATTATATTGAAAAATTAAATCGAACCGAATACACCCGTAAACTAGGGTGAAGATAGTCGTGAGATTACCTTAATAATTGATTCAACAATTCTTATGTGTCATCTTTAATTAAATTATGATCTTTAAAGGTGATGCCTTTTTTTAAAGATGATCACTCTATTTAAGTATTTAAAAGAATTAGCTGACCCTTATTCCCATATGTAATGGGATAAGTGGGAGGTGGATAGTAGGCTGCCCCCAACGTCAGGTTGGGAGCAACTTCCGTGGGAGACCTCGAATTATGAAATGCCCCCAAAAAATATTTTGTGATTTTAAGTTTTGAACGGCTGAAAAATTAACCAACAACTCAATGCGTATATTTAGTGTGTATATATATATAATATGAGTTAGTAAGGGTTAGGTTAAGTCCAATTTTTATTTAAATTAATTCAACCATTATTTATTTAAAATATATTTATAATATTTAATTTATTATTTATTTAAAACTCTTTTAAAATAAATAATAATAATTAAAATCATGTTTCTTATCTGATAAAGAATTTAAATTCAACTAAATATTTAGTATTATTTATTTAATATTATTTCTGAACCAAATAAAGAAATAATAATAAATAAAATATTCTATCAAAAGAATATGAATCTAATTTTTTTAATTTAAATAATAATAATCTCTAATATAATTAAAAAATCTCATTATCTTAAATTATTATTGATAACGATAACCACAATCATTCTTATTTGTTTTTTTGTTGTGCGGCCCTATAAGTTCAATTAACATTGGTCGTAGATAAAATCATATTTGATCCTACAAGTCATAAGTGGCCTCTAGCAAACATTATAACTACCCAAGTTAAATGAAAAGTTTATGATCCGAGATAACCTCAACACAACCATGTCATAATCCTTTTGTCTCACTATATCTTGATAGAATATAAGACATGAAGAATGCCTACCTTATATCATCTTATCTTCAGTTTCTCGATGCCCAATCGAACTGATTAAACAAATGAAATTGATCTCCATCAACTCATTTGAGCATGGTTATGCATTTCTTAGTCTCATCGATGAGCCCTAAAATATATCTCTTATGATAAGAGGGATAAATTTCATCTTAATCATTCACATCTCAGTACATGATTTTGTCATGTTCAGCATAACCTTTATAATCATCCGATTAAAGATAATATTTGACTATGTCAAAACGTAATAATTATCATGTTGAGAACCATGGTAATTTCATGTCTAAGGACTTAATGACTTAACATTTGAAGACTAATATATGACGTTGATCCATATATTAATCTCAAAATGAGCCAATTCAATATTTATTCTCAACAAATACATATGAATTTGATTTGAATCTCATTCACATATTCATCCATGAGTATCTATCAAACTTCATATCAATCTTATTTTATTATTGTTCCCACAATAATAATTGATTAGGAATATTTGGAATAATTAAAAATAATATTTAAGGATATCCGTATACAAAAACATGTAAATTATAAAAATAAATCTAATCCAACTTTAAGGACATTGAAAGATAATTTTAAACAAATTTTAATAAATTCAAACTCAAGAGATCGATCATTTTTCTCGATAAAGATCGGTCTTTTCGTAATATTTCACTAAATAACTCTAATCGGACTTATCTGAGTTATCTCTTTGTAGAAAGAAAAGCATATTTACCAATTTGTAACTCAATCATGAAACTCTCCATTTTAACAATTCTGTTGGTTTTAGGTAAATTATCTAACAAAACTTGCACGCTTCAAAGTACCAAAGAATAGAAAGAAGAAAATCTCAGCCTATGATCCAATGAACAATGCTATACTTTCCCTTTCCTTTGATCCTTTTATCCCAATTCACACATAACAATGGAAGGATGGAAAGGAACGGGTGGGGTAGTCATCCCTTGTGAAGTTTTTAATTTTTATGTATTTTCTATCATTATATATTTTCGTTTTTAGAATTTTATAAATTCGTTTCAGTTTAAAATTAATCCCTTAACATAAAATCTTACGTCCATCGTTACACACGTAACTTCAACATGCAAACTTGCTAATGCAAAATCACAAAATATATATATATATATATATATATATATATATATTAAAAGTAGCAGTTACATTATTTGTATTTTCTACAACGACATACAACTTCCATAACTACACACATTTTTTTACTTCATTGACCATAAAGACACCCTATAAATTACATATTTGCTCACCCATCTATTACTTAGTTTCTATTTTAGTCAGCCAACTATTATTTTTTTCAAAATCACGCCTAACATTATGTTTTAATTTTATTTTGGTCACTCATTGTTAAAAAATTAATAGTGATCCTAAAATGCTAATTTTTATTTTTTTTATATTGATGTGGCATTACCTTATGGTGACACGTCAGTATCACCGTTAATTTTTTAACGGCGGATGACTAAAATAGAAACAAAAGTAACGTTAGGTATGATTAAAAAAATATAGTTGGTTGACCAAAACAGAAACTAAGAAATAGGTGAGTAGCAAAATAGGTAGTTTAACCTATTATATTCCTTTGTGTGGATTGTTTGCTAAGGTTTATGATGCTGAGTGTAGATGTAATCCAGGTGAGCTTCTGCAATCACCCTTCTTTTCAAACATTCTTCATCTTCCTCATTGCAATCTTCTGATCCCATCAGCTTCAACCAAACCCCAAAATCAAAATCAATATAAATGAAAAAAAGGGATTTGATTTTTAGAAAAAAGAAAGAGAGATGGAAATCTTACATTTGATATATCTTCTGTTGTATCTGTCACTAACGCTGGTATGATGATCCCCTTAGCTGCAACCAGCTCTTTCTCACCTGTTTACAATTTTGGTAAATTTTTTAGACCAAACACAGTGAAAGAGCAAAGAGAGAAAGGAAATTAATTTAAGAGAAAAGGGTAATTTTTTCTTCTTTTTCTTTTTGGAGTAAAAAAAAAACCTTGTTTCTGGGGAAGCAGGCGGTAAGCAGATGAGCAGAGAAGTAAAACGAAGAGAAGAAAGGTGATAAACCCAACAGACTTTTCCTTCATCTCTTTTGATCTTTTGCTTTGTTCGAAGACGGAATATAATATGAAATGAAGCAGAGTGGCGTAAGGCTAGTGTGTATAAATAGTAGCAAATGCTGAGATCCTCAACTTTCATGCACATCTTTGTTACCTTGTGTCCGAAATTTGGTCAAGTTCATTTAATTATTTTTGATATAATAGCAAAATTATCATGAACCTTATTCACCCATAAATCAAAAAAATAAGGTAAAGTACAAGATTCCTTACTATAAAGTGTTGTTTTGTTAAGTCTTCGACTATTAAAAGTTATAAAATGGTCCTTCAACTATATGACGTTGCTTTGTTGAGTCCTTCGACTATTAGAAATTATAAAATAGTCACTCTATTATTAATATGTTCTAAATTCTTCCTTTTCTCGATAAAAAATTAACGATCGTCTGAGCTAGACGTTAACATGTTGACTGAGATATGATAGTCGTTTGAGATTTTGGGATCAGATTTTAGGATATCTCAGTCAGTAGGTTAACGTCAAACTCAAATTATCGTCAAATTTTTAACGGAAAAGGATTAGTTTGGAACATATGAGTAGTTAGATGACCATTTTGTAAATTTTAATAGTTGGATGACTCAACAACAATACCCTATAGTCGGAGAAGCATTTGTGTACTTTACCCAAAAATATATTATAAGTTCAAAATTACATTTTCTTATATATGATAATAATAATGATTCAACCTTAAATAAACCTATTAGGCAATTAATAAATTTGATATCAAAAAAAGGTTGTAGGAAGGGAGATATCAAAATTTTTTGCTTAATAATCTAACAATTAATAAATTTTGAAATGAACAACATAAGTCGTCACTTATGTGAGAATGAAGTGGAGTCATTTCAAATAGACTATTGAGGCATAGTTCTCTAAGCTCTTGCAGAATCGAAAGATATCCACGACTATAAGTACATAACCATGATAACCAAATTCTTTACAGTGTGATATTTGTGTGAGGTATGACATCACTTACACAAATGGCATGACAGTTCAAGGATATCAGGTTTACTGGACAGCTAGTAAGGTAAACATATTTCTCAATGTAAGGTTCAAAGGAGGATGCTTACCTATCTTATGCAAATATCGAATATATAATCTATCACCACATTAAGTCAATGTTTTAAACCATCAATTTCATTCATGTGGGGATTGTTGGAAAAGTAAATGAATGAATTTATGTTATTTATAACTTATTAATAATAAGTCATGTCCTTGGTGAATAGACTTAAATTTTGATTTAAAGTTACCTCTACTCAATCATAACTATTCAACAATTCTCTACATGAAAAGATTAAGTTTTTTCATGAAAAGGTTTCATCAAAAGGTTAAGTCTTTTCATTGAAAGGTATTAACTTTTCAATCCAATTCCTCTCCATATATAAAGGCTAAGTTGTGACACATTCTCCACACAACTTGAATTCCTTTCAAATATCTTTCAAATATATTTTTTGATGTTAGAAAAAAAACAAGAACATGTTCGATTGTTCACTACAGTTGTGATTACCATGGTGATCATTGTAACATCCTCAGACCGATACGGGTGACCCGATCCGATTTGAGGTATCACATTAGGGCCACCGGAGTAACCCACATTGAAAAATCCTAGAAAATTTAAAATTTTTGTTAATCCATTTAAAACTGTAAAATAATTTATATATCAAATACAAGTTCAGAAAATCATTTATATATTAAAAATAGAACTCAACAATATCCAATAATAAAACAAGTTTCAGGCTCGAATATAAAAACATAATACAACCTACATGCCCCTTAATTACATGCATCGTACTCTGCAAGCAACACCGGTAGAACTCCTTTACTGATGTCGATAAAAGCACATGATCAAACTCTTTAACCTGAAATGGTAAGTAACAGAGTGAGCTTTGGGAAGCTTACTAATACAGAACTACCAGATGAATGCAATGGGTCATCGGGTATAAGGTAAAGTATAAATTTTCTTAACGATACAAATATCAATAGGTTCTAGAGATGAGCTCAAATTTCATTAATTATTTCTTCAAGTAACATTCAGAAAATAAAAATCCGAAGGAAATATTCAGAGAGACATATTCAAGAGATTGAGATGAAGAGTCTAGTGTATTCCAACAAAACCAAAGAAAATGTACATATCTTTTAAAATAGTAACATTTTAAAACATATTTTTTAAGATCATAGTAATACCCTCCAACCGAAAACCGATATGTAGTTCCCCAAGACTGCATCCATAAGGACTTACCCTATGCCTATTGGGCGTAGGAGCCAACCTAAGGGAGTATCTTGGGGCTTGAGAGCCTACCCAATATAGTACCTTAAGGCCTAAAAACCTACCCAATGGAGTACCTTGGGGCCTTAGAGCCTACTCAAGTAAGTGCCTTGGGGCCTCAGAGCCTACCCAAGGTCACCTTAGGTCCGTAAGGAATTACCACCTGGATCAAAATTGAACCTCCACACTCCGGAATCCTACCCAAACAATATCCTGATAATTGGATCATACCGTAAATAGTAAATTCCATGATCCATAAATCATACATAATTATATTTTCTAATGGAAACAGTAACCAAATAGCATATATCATGTAGTCATAGTTCATAAACAGTAAATCAATAAATCAATAATTCAGAATATCGAACAGTTAAAAGACTTAGTAAATTAGTAACTTCGGTAAATTACATTCCAGAATAGATAAAATAATCATATAGTACATAGGGAACACACTAGAGGATCTAGTTATTTTCCGGAGGTACTTGGTAATTATCAAGCGGGGAAAACACGAAACTTCTGCAAACTGATTGAACTTTGGAAATGAAATCAATTTTTAAAGAGTTCAATAGTTAATAAATTAATTAGTCATTAGGAAAGTGATTCATTAGGATCATATAATACTCGAATATATCCAAAGGATATCCAGAACTGTTACATTAGAATTTCTTAAGATTTAGAATTTCTTGGGGTGATTCCATTAATTAGACTCATAAGCGTATTTTAGTCATTTAATTATGTAGAAATTTTGGTAATTTAGTTTACTAAAGGTAAGGAGTAATTTATAGTATTTCATATTTCAAGCATCTTATCAGGCTTCCAAGTCCGATCGAATTATATTGATCCCAACAAATACTATACTTACCAAGTATGCAGGTAGAATAACTTCACGAATATCATTTCTTATTATTGACTACACTATAGAGTTTAACAGATCACCTTCAGAACCCTTATTTGACGAATCTTGGGGAGACAAATGGGTATTCATGCTATATTTATTTTATTCTCATATTATAATAGTAGCAAGCATGGTCGATATGCTTGGGACGTGTTTCAACCCTGAGGTGTTATACAACCTTTATTTATATTTTTATCAGTATGTCCAAAATTTATCCAAGTGTATTCATTTTTATTCTAGACCATGAAGTTATTTAAGTCATTTCAGCATTCAGGGCATTTTAGTCCTTTCATTTAATCTAGTCTTTCCATTTATTTCAAACTTGTCAATAGTTTCAGTCATTTCGAACAATCCTGACAATAAGAGTACTTTCAATAAGTTAGTCTTTGGGTGTTTACTCATAAATCAGAAATTTTGAGTCTATTGCCTTCTTAGAGCATACGAACTGATAATCAAAAAAAATTCGAACAAAATATGAACTTAAGAGTTAAATCAATAATTTATTGGATTACATATGAACTATTATGGTACTTTTTCAATCAGGGTCAATCCAGACTATTTTTACCTCTCAAGTTTAATTCTGTAATTTCTCATCTAGGTATTTTCGATGTTTCAATTTTTAAAGAGAGTAGTCATAATTTAAGGGTTATGAGGTTAAACGCTTCATTGGTTAATCATGAAACTTGGAATTAATTCTTATTAATCTTCTAATTTCTATACGAGTCATCAGAGTTTTATTCAGTTACTTACTTTTATCGCATTTGATCGAGTTTAGAAATAGTTAACTATACAGATAAGACCAAATATATTCATCAATGCATTTAGCAATACCAACATGAACTGTAAAGAATGCATAGGATATAAAGTATTACCTCGATTCTCGAGCTACACCGATCGAACATTTAAATTCCATTTGATCGCTTTCAAACTTGAATCTAATGTCCAATAATCTCGGATACATATCAACAAAATTTACATCTTAAACGGAGCTTAATTACGAAAAATTGATCAAATCGAGAGGTTAATCAATGAAAAAAGGTTATCGAGATTGAATTTGGCGAAACATACCTAAAAACGGACTCAAGATGTAGAAAAACATCATGATAGGTGTTCTAAAAAAAGTCAACAGTCATTCAACGTTCGGTCAACACATTTCAATGGTAAATGCATGATCAATGGCTCGGCTTGGCTCAGCGTGGCTCGACACAAACGGCTCAGTCCAAACCAGTCTAACTAATTCAGACTGATTCAACCGGTCAACAGACTCCCCTGGTTGACAGACGACGCCCACACGTAGGGTACGGCACGTGTGGCGATTTCAGTGATCAATCGGTGATGAAACTTTCCATTGACCAATAACTCGGGAGTTGATGAATGAGTTATTTTACGGAGGAGAGCGATGGAAGAACGACGAAAAAAACTCTTTCGAACGACCGAAGCGTTTCCTCCTCCACCTTTCACGATGCTAACAATGAGGGAGGTTCAATCGGTTAAGGTTAGGTTTGTGAGGTATCGGGGATCACGTTGGTGAGGGTAGTGAGATGAGAGTGAAGCTAGGGATTTCGACGATCGATTTAACACAAATTTAGGGCAAACGATGAAAAATCTCGGTGACAAACAAGAGGGGTTTCGGTCGGCGCAGAGCGACTATCTTGGTGGTGGCAGCGGTGAACTCTAAGGCGGCCGAACGATGAAGAATCGTGGTGGAAAGGGCGATGACGATTTAAGGATTTGGGGGTTTAATTTGGGGATTCGGGTTTTCCAAACTAGAATAGGGTATGGTTTTTGGGTATTTTAACCCGAGCCCTATACAATAAAAGATATTTTTTTATTTAATCATCAACAGTGCCCGGGTAACCATAACCTTAAGGTCACA